AAATCCATACTTTCCCTAGGCTTTTCTTTAAATTGTTTTAACCACAAAAAAAAATTTTTTTTTATTTTTCCCTTTTAAAATTTTTTTACCCGTGCCTCTCCCAATCTTTCATCGCTCTCCTTTTGCACCTCTCACCACTCTCTTCCACCTTTCCTTTTTCCTCCATATACTCTGCTCTTTTTTTAAACACTTTGCTTTGTAAAAACCCTCGTAACCAACCCTTTTTTCTTTTTATCCCCCAAAACCCTTTAAATTCAACATTCCACCCAAACAACCTCTTTTCCTCCCCCCCCCTCCCCAAACCCCCCAAACCTTTTAAAAATCTGCCCCCCATTCTAATACCCCATTTTAAAACTATTCCCCCCCCCCCTTCAACCCCCCCACTTTCTCCCTCTTTGCACTAGCCCACCTTTCTGCCCAAAAGGCGCTTATATCTCGCCCGAACTTCCCCCTCCCCTTTGTTTTTTACAGTGGGACCCCCCCCATAGCGAAATTAATCCCTCAAAAAGACTCATTGTTACGAAAATTTTTTTGATCGAATGAATTTTTTTCCCCCTAAGAAATTTAAAGGAAAAACAAATTAACCGTGGCAAGACACCCAAAGTATGAAAAAAAATTTTTTTCCACATGAAATATACATTTTCCTACACACAAAGAGAAGGGGTACATGCACAATAGTAGAGTAGTACATGCACAATATATATTGTGGGATGTACTACTCTACTAAAAGAAGGGTTTAAAAAACACTTACCTTTATTGAAGATGCAGCAATGACTGATGAACAAATTGTCCTGGGAAATGCCTTTTTCCTCCTGAAATACTGTAGGGCCTGTTTTTGGGATTTTTTTCCCGTTTCGGCCCAAACACACTGTGTAAGCCACTAAAGATTCTTTAAAACACTCAAACCCAAACCTTTTCTTTGGTTTAAATTTTACCAATATGACCCCCTAGTTCCAAGGGGATTTTTTCCCCCGTTTCCCCCTGGGTGTTAAATCCCACTGGTTTTGGGGTTGCATCCTGGGGAAAACAAGATTAAGACCCCAAAGGAAAATTTAAATTAGTCCTTTTGATGACACTGACTTTTTTGGGGTTTATCCGGGGGGCAAATCCCCTGGGGGTTTAATTTTTTCTTTGGTTTTTCTCAAAAAGCCCCACCAACAACGGTGGGGGCAGCACAGCCCGCAGCACAGCAGCTGACAGTGCACAGCATCAGCAACAGCAGCAGACGATTTCTAACAGCAGCAGGAAACCGGAACAAAAGCAGCAGCAGCAGCTGACAGTGGTAAAAGCAAAAGCAGCACTGACAGTGCTACAGCAGCACAACGATGCTACAGCAGCCCCAAAACCGACGATGCTACACAGCTCAGAAAGGTACTTTCAGGGACAAACAACGGGAAAACAGCACAGCAAACAGCAGCAGCTGATGGGGTAACAACAGCAGCAGCAGCTGACGTGGCTACAAGGGAGCACAAACCATGCTCCCGCAGCAGCAGATGGGACAAAAGCAGCAGCACAGCTGACGGTGGTAACAGCAGCAGCAGCAGCTTTACGGTGCTACACCACACAGCTGGACAGTCAGCAGCAGCAAACAGCGGGCGGGGGTACAGAGCAGCTTTTTCCCCCAATAATAGCGATTGGGTTTTCGAGGTTTTTTATACCCAAACCCGGCCAGCTCGGGGGACACGCCCCTCCACTTTCATACTTTTCAATATCTTTTTCTTCATCTCTATATAATTTTTCACCCTTATTGATGTAGGGTTGGCACTAGAAGCTTCTTGGGGCCCATGGTCACTTATTTTGCAGATAAAATCACCAGAAACACTGTAATAATACGAAATGTTCCGATTGTATGTTTGGATGTTACCGCGGAGGCTGGCTGGTAAACAATGCCACCGGCGGAACATGTGAGGCTGGCTAAGGGCACACATTTGACGCGTCTCGGACGAACAGCGTTGAGCGGGTTTTTTAGCGGTATGCGAGGCAAAATCTTGGCGATAAAATGTAGCGGTATGCGGATTTAACGTTATGCAAGGCCAACGGTATGCGGGGGTCCACTGTACACTTTCACCTCCCTCTTACTTGTTGTTGCCACCTTCCTCTTTTCCCATCTACCTCTTACTCTATAAATAATTTGTAACTTTTATTCACACAAATAATACAAGATTTACTGTTATGCAGACTACTGCCCTATTGCAATAATTGTATAAAGAATGTCAAACCTATTCACAAACCTATTCGAACATTTCTCCTACTTTGAGCTCAATTTCAAGGTACTTTTCATCGTGAAAGCAATCAAAATCATATCTACTTCTGTAATATATCTTCCATTCTATCAAATGAGATAAAAAACAAGAATACAACCATAAAAACCATACGAAAATGCCACTAAGGGGCGGCTAATTGCTGAGAACTGAACTCCATTATTTATGCTCTGATTTCTTTCATTTTTGGTGTACGTTAACCCTTTCAGGGTCTGTCTCGTAGATCTACGGCTTTGCTTTCAGGGTCCAAACCGTAGATCTACGCCATGAGCTCAGCTCACTCTGATAAGCTGTGAGTGGTAAATTTGGGCCAAGATATAAGAGAATACATCTATGTGGTATGTGTGCACCACATAAAACAAATCCTGCAGCACACAGTGTATAATGAGAGAAAAAAAACTGAGACCATGATTTTCGATTAAAACAGCGACTTTGCAGTGTTTTTTTCGTATGTTTGTTATAGTTGTATTTGCGATTCCTTGGTCTCGTATGATAGAATGAAAGACATATTATAGAAATAAAGATGATTTTGATTGGTTTTAGCACTGAAAATGGCTTGAAACTGAGCTCAAAGTACCGGAAATGTTAAATTTTTGCCGATGTTCAAGAGTAAACAAACGACCTCACACGTCTAATACACACCAGTTGGTGGATCTAATATACATTCACAAATGTGGTGATGATATTTATACAATTATTACAATATTGCATAACAGTAAATCTTCTATTTTTTTGGTCTGAATAAAAATTTATTATGTGAATAAAAAATCAAAATGGAATTCATTTGTAAAGCCTCAAAACGTAACTAATGAACAGAGGAAATGTTAGTTTAGTGCCAGGAATACTTACATTGTTTTTCTGGACCCTATTTTGAAATTGGAATATTTTGAACTTTGTGTTAAATTGACCAAATTACCAATTTCCGATCACTTTATTTTGTAGTTGAAACAGTTGACTTGGCTATTTCTTGTGCTCAATCGATAGAAGAGAAGTAATACTAGTGAAATAGCTAAGAATTTGGTCGACTGGAATAATGTAATTGGCCTACAATGGGAGTCAAAGTCGGCAAAATCGCAGATTCGTAAATATCGCTGACACATCAAAATTCACGAGAGCATAATTTCGTCAATTTTCCATCAAATTTCGTTCTTTTTGTTTTATTTCCTTCAGAAAAAGATTCTCTACCATTTCATAAGAAAAAATAACAACAAATTTTTTGGAAAATTCTTGGACCCTGGTATGCACTTCGAAATTTGGCCTCTGGACCCTGAAATGGTTAAGAAGCATCTTTCCATCATACATTGCCCAAGTTTCAATAAGATAGTCCAACAAACAAATGAGATCCAATTCCCTAGATCAAGAGCCCCTCACCAGCATCAAGGAACCTCCCTTGAGGTCCGCTCACTTATGGAAATTTCCCTCACGTATGGAAGCAAAAAATCAACCCACTGATTGCTCATACTATTTGGAAAAACTTGCACGTGGATGCGCTCGCAAGTAGAGGTTCCACTGTAATACCATACACTTCACCTGGCTTATTCTCCTATAATTTTTACACTCTCTTTTGTGCCCCCTCCCCATGCACTCTCCTCTTTCAAACATTTATTTAACAAAAGTACCAACCACTCCAAAACTATATTCCCCACCTGCTTTTAACATTTCTGTCTTAATCCCATCACTCCCAGTTGCTTTACCCCAATTCATTTTGCTCACTGCCTCATACACCTCCACCACTCTCACATCTGTATCTTTCTCACTCCTAAAAGATATTATACCTCCCTGGCCAATGCACAAAATCACTGACTCCATTTCTTCATCAACATTTAACAGCTATTCAAAATATTCCCACAATACCCCCATCTCCCCATCTAATGACTTCCCTCTTCTGTTTTAATTGTCAAATTCATTCATTCCCTACACTTTCTCAACCTATTAATCTCACTCCAAAAACTAATAAGTAAATAACAAAAAAAGGCACAATACCATGAATTTGACAGTTAAAAACAGAAGAGGGAAGTTATTAGATGGGGAGTTGGAGGAATTGAGATATTAATGAAGTAAGTGAGGCAGTGATTTTATGCACTGGCCAGAGAAGTATAACATACATACATATATACATACATTTTTTTTTTAACAAACCGGCCGTATCCCACCAAGGCAGGGTGGCCCAAAAAGAAAAACAAAAGTTTCTCTTTTTACATTTAATAATATACACTGGAGAAGGGGTTACTAGCCCCTTGCTCCTGGCATTTTAGTCGCCTCTGACAACATGCATGGCTTACGGAGGAAGAATTCTGTTCCACTTCCCCATGGAGGTAAGAGGAAATAAACAAGAACAAGAACTAGTAAGAAAATAGAAGAAAACCCAGAGGGGTGCGTATATATATGCTTGTACATGTATGTATAGTGTGACCTAAATGTAAGTAGAAGTAGCAAGATGTACCTGAAACCTTGCATGTTTATGAGACAGAAAAATGGACACCAGCAATCCTACCATACATACATACATACAGTATATACATACATGCATATACATATAATATACATACATACGTGCACACACATGCACACATACACATTTTTTATTTATTTATTTTACATCCATTATGTTTCTTAAAAGACCAGAGTTATGGTGGTGTGGTTGCATCTACATCATTTAGCTATGAGCCTGCACTGAAAGAAAAAATTATTTTTAAAAGCAAACAGGAAACAGAAGTGTAGCAAATAAGCAGTGCTTACCAGCATGTTCTGAGCACTATCGGGAACAGCATTATTCTTGCACCACTGATATACATAGGATGAAATGTTTTGCCTGTCCTCTAAACCGTGTACACCAATCACAACTTCCGTAACCTTCACTCGATTTGTGCTCGTCTTGGTAAGCCTGAACTGGACTTGTTGACCTGCGGTTTAAAGTTGTAATACAGCCTTTCCAGCTATAACCATTTGTTCTTTTAAGCTTTGGATAGCCAGAATGTTTGTCATGATGAAAAATATCATATATTTGATAAAGCTGCACTAATGGCAAAAAATACATATATAGATTGCATTACCTGTAACATTAAGTGTAATATAGATGACCTTGAATAAATCACTACTTGTGCAAACAAAATATCTGTGCATGCCAGTACAGTACAAAGGCCAAGCAACCAATGTTTTAACCCCTAAACTGTCCAAACGTATATTTATGTAGCGCCCAAACATATATATATGTTTTATTTTTCCTGCCTCCAAATTTGGCACCATTGGCCTGAGATGCCTAGTCAGCATAGAATTGGTCTTAACACTTGGTGTGTGCAGTATTAAAAAAATCTGGGACCACTTAGTACCTTGTGGGAGCGCCAGTTAAATTGAGCGACAGCTAGAGGAAAACAGTGCGGCAAACACCAAGGATTCACTGATGTAATATCAAATTAACACTTCTCTTTTAAGAGAAAGTGATGTTAACCCCAAGTTTAGGGTCTGTCAATCTGTCTCTGTCTCTAACTGTCTCTGTCTATCTGTCTCTGGCTTTGTCTATCTGTCTCTGTCTTTGTCTATCTCTGTCTCTGTCTGTCTCTATGTCTCTATCTATCTGTGTATCTGTGTCTGTCTGTCTCTGGCTTTGTCTATCTGTCTCTGTCTATCTCTTTCAATCTGTCTTTGTCTATCTGTCTCACAGGTACACATAAATACAAGTATGCGTAGTATAAATTACCTAGGATAACCCAAAATTCCAGACAAAGTGCTATACTCTGCTGGATGGATAGACAGACAGACAGACAGAAATGTTTGTGTACCAGCAAAAACAAAGCAGGGAGATGGTCATCTAATCTTTTATCAGCTGCACCCTTCCCTACCCTCATGTATGCTCATCAAAGGTCAGCTCTTATCAGATGTTATCTCACTTTATCATGCCACTGTCTGGGATGGACTTTGTTTTTCATGCTTCAGGGGAACTTATTATTATTACTATTATTATTATTATTATCCTCCTCCTCCTCCTCCTTCTCCTCCTCCTCCTCCTTCTCCTCCTCCTCCTCCTTCTCCTCCTCCTCCTCCTCCTCCTTCTCCTCCTCCTCCACCTCCTCCTCCTCCTCCTTCTCCTCCTCCCTCCTATTCCTTTCCCCCTCCTCCTCCTATCCTTCTCCTCCTCCTCCTTCTCCTCCTCCTCCTCCTCCTCCTCCTCCTTCCCCCTCCTCCTCCTCCTTCTCCTCCTCCTCCTCCCCCCCTTCTCCTCCCCCCTTTCTCCTCCTTCTCCTCCTCCTTCTTCTCCTCCTTCTCTCCTTCTCCTTCTCCTCCTCCTCCTCCTCCTTCTCCTCCTCCTCCTCCCTCCCCTCCTCCTCCTCCTCCTCCTCCTCCTCCTCCTTCTCCTCCTCCTCCTTCTACTTTCCCCCTCCTCCTCCTCCTCCTTCTCCTCCTCCTCCTCCTCATTCTCCTCCTCCTTCTCCTCCTCCTCCTCCTCCTCCTCCACCTTCTCCTCCTTCTCCTCCTCCTCCTCCTTCTCCTCCTCCTTCTCCTCCTCCTCCTTCTCCTCCACCTATTCTCCTCCTTCCTCCTTCCTCCTCCTCTTTTCTTCTTCCTCCTTCTCCTCCTCCTCCTCCTCCTCCTCCTCCTCCCCCTTTCTCCTCCCCCCTCCTCCTCCTCCTTCTCCTCCTCCTCCTCCTCCTTCTCCTCCTCCTCCTCCTCCTCCTCCCCTCCTCCTTCTCCTCCCCCTCCCCCACCTTCCCTCCTTTCTCCCCTCCTCCTTCCTTCTCCTCCTCCTTCTCCTCCTTCTCCTCCTCCTCCTCCTTCTCCTCCTCCCTCCTTCTCCTCCTCCTCCTCCTCCTTCTCCTCCTACTCCTCCTACTCCTCCTTCCCTCCTCCTTCTTCTCCTCTTCCTTCTCCTTCTCCTCCTTCTCCTCCTCTTCCTCCTCCTCCTCCTCCTTCTCTCCTCCTCCCCTCCTCCTCCTCCTCCTTTCCTCCCCTCCTTCTCCTCCTTCTACTCCTCCTCCTCCTCCTCCTCTTCTCCTCCTCCTCCTCCTCCTTTCTCCTCTCCTCCTCCTCCTCCTCCACCTTCTCCTCCTCCTCCTCCTCCCTCCTCCTTCCCTCCTTCTCCTCCTCCTTCTCCTCCTCCTCCCTCCTCCTTCTCCTCCACCTCCTCCTCTCTCCTCCTCCTCCCCCTCTCTCCTTCTCCTCCTTCTCCTACTCCTCCTCCTCCTCCTTCTCCCTCTCCTCCTTCTCCTCCTCCTCCTTCTCCTCCTCCTTCTCCTCCTCCTCCTCCTAATCCTCCCCCTTCCTCCTATCCTCCCCCCCTTCTCCTCCTCTTTCCCTCCTCCTAATCCTCCTCCTCCCCCTTTCCCTCTCCTCCTCCTCTTTCCCCTTTCCTCCTTCTCCTCCTCCTCCTCCTCCTCCTCCTCCTCCTTCCTCTCCCCTTTCCTTCTCCTCCTCCTCCTCCTCCCCCTCCTTCTTCCCTCCTCCTCCCCTCCTCCTTCTCCTCCTCCTCCTCCTTCTCCTCCTCCTCCTCTCCTCCCCTCCTCCTCCTCTTCTTCTCCTCCTCCTCCTTTTCCTCCTCCTCCTCCTCCTTCTCCTTCTCCTCCTCCTCCTCCTCCTCCTTCTCCTCTCCTCCTCTCCTCTCCTCCTCCACCTCCTTCTCCTCCTCCCTCCTCCTTCTCTCTCCTTCCTCCTTCCTATTCTCCCTCTCTCCTCCTCCTCCCTTCTCCTCCGCCTTCTCCTCCTCCCTCTCCCTCCTTCTCCTCCTCTCTCCCTCCCCCTTTCCTTCCTCCTCCTTCTCTCCTCCTCCTCCTCCTCACTAGCTCTCCTCCTCTACGTCTCCTCCTCCTCACATTCTATCTCACACTGCCTCTACCTCCTTCTCACCTCCTCCTCCTCATCTCATTACCTCCTCATCCTCCTTTCTACAATCCTCCTTCCTTCTCCTCCTCCTCCTCGCTCATTCCTCTCAGCCTCCTCTTCCATAAGCCTCCTCCTCTCCTCATCCTCATTTCCTCCTCACTCCTCCCCTCTCATTCATCCTACTCTCCTCTAATACATCTATCTCCTCTCCTCCTCCTCCTTCCTCCAAATTCACCTCTCCTTCTCCTCCTCTCTCCTTCCTTCCAAACTCCTACTTCTCCTCCGCCTCCTCGCCTATTCCTTCCTAATATCCTACTCCCCTGCTCATTCTCACTCTACTCCTCCTCCTCCTCCTCCTTCCTCCCTCTCTCCTCGCCTCCTCCTCCTCCTTCTCATCTCCCTCCATCTCTTCTCTCCTCATCTCTCCTCTACTCCTAATCCTCATCTCCTCCGCTCTCTCCTCCTCTTCCCTCCTCACTCCTCCCCTCCTCCTTCTACTCCTCCGCCTCCTCTCATCCTCCTCTCTCCTCCTCTCCGCTCCTTCTCCTCCTCCTCCTTCTCCTCCTTCCTCCGCCTCTCCTCCTCCTCCTCCTCCTCCTGTCTCCTCCATCCTCCTATCAACTCTCCTCCTAACTCTCCACCTCATCTCCTCCTCCTCAAGCATCCAGCCCCTATACCTCCTCTCTCTCCATCCTCTCTCATCCCTCCTACCTCTCACTCCCCTCTCCTCTCACCTCCTCCTCCTTCTCCTCCTCCTCCTCCTCCTTATCTCCTAATACCTTCTCACATCCTACGCATTATAATCTATCTCCTCCTCCTCATCTCCTAATTCTAGACATCAATCACTCCTCTCGCTCCTACGCATCTTCCTCTACCTCCTCCTCCTCCATCCTCTCGACTCCTACTCCTCCTCCTTATCCATCACTCCTCCAATCTTCAATTCTCCTTCACGAATCCGTCCTCCTCCTACCTCCTACCATCATAGCCCTCCTTCTCTTACCTCCATAATATCCATCTCCTCCTTACCTCAAACTCACTCCTCATCCTCCTCTTTTCCTCATCTCATCCTCCTCCTCCTCCTCCTTATCGCTCCTCCTCCTCCTCATCCTTCATCCTCCTCCTCCTTTACCTCCTCTTCTCCTCCTACACATAAAACAGCATACTACATCCCCTAGCTTCTCTTCTACTGCTACTCCTATCCTCACCCTTTTAATCCATCCTCCTCCTTCTCCTCCTCCTCTCCTCTCCTTCCCTCCTACCTCCTCCTCCTCTACCTCTCTCACTCGCCCTCCTCATTCTGCTCCTCCTCATCCTCCTCCTCCTCCTCTCCTTCTCTCCTTCTCCTCCTCCTCCTCATCCTCTCATCCTTCTCCTCACTCCCTACCTCCTCCTCCTTATCCTCCTTCACATTATAGTAAATCCTCTCCTTCTCCTCCTCCTCCTCTTCATTATTATTATATACTTCCACATATCCAAAACATTGCTGAGACCTATAAATACTTTGTATATATTCCAAGACAGTAGTAAATGACCAAGGCAGGTGTAAATGTCCACCTGTCAATGTCTTTGTGACAATATGACTACAATTTCAGTACCTAATACTAGTGTCAGGAGGAAGGCTGGTTATGAAATGACAAGAACTACTATAAATTGTAATTTTCAGAACATAAAAATTATAAAAAATAATATGAAAAATATAAAAAGGTATATCGGCAACACTTCTACAAGCAGCAGGACTCCATGTTGCCATCACATGAGCATCCAGTGCCAACTTCACTGCCTCATATATCTGTAAGTACTAACCTTAATTTTTTTTATTCTAAAACACTTAAAAAATGTGCCCTTTTTTTCTATGAAATTTTTTTTTTATTTTTTTTTCAAAGTATATTCGGGGCGCTGCGCAAGTGAACTATATATGTTTGGACCTTTAAGGGTTAAATACTGGACTGTAATAGTACTGTACCTTCTAGTATCTCTTATCCAGAATTTTCCCAAAACTGAAAAAATTTCTTGAATTTTGAATAATCTTTAAATTTTTTTTTTTTTTTTCATTTCAGCAAAAGTTCTGAATTTTCGAGTGGAAAATCTAATTTGGAATGTTCTGAATGCAATAAAGTTTTGGAAAATTTTAAATTAGGAATTTAGACATACTTTACTAAACGTATTATGCCAATTATAGTGGTTTCCCTCATTTTATACGATACATGCATTCTTGACCCAAAGCACATTAAACAGATTCACATGAAGTGAACCGAGAATAACATATAAAGCATAGGGGAACATTCTGAAACTGCAAATCCCACATTTCTTGATGAGTGCTAACCAAAACAATATGATGAATAGGAAACATGTTCAACACATGGGTATCTTGACAGAAACATTTCAAACAGCAGGGAGCTTAATCAGTCTATTATAGAGACATGAGAATAGAGATTTTTTACAGTAAAACCAGTGGAAGGAGAGTTGCAATGTAGTAACAGATATGGTCAAATGTGGGCAGGCCCATGTGTGACCACATCTACCACTGATGCATCACTACTTCTTCTATTGGTTCCAGCATAAAATCTCTGTTCAATAGCACACAGTCTTCATAACTGACAGAACCTCCTACAAGACTGACCACTAACTTTCTTTCTAGGAAATTAGACAATATGGCCACGTCTACTACTGCAACGTTGCCCCACTTCTTCCAGTGGCTCCACTATAAAAATTTCCATTCTCATGTCCCTGATTATGTATGTAGTACATGTATCTAATTATGTATGTATCTAATAATGCATGTTCAAATGTACTGCTCCATAACTTATATCAGTATAGAGTAAGAATTAGTATGTCTGCTCGAAATGCCTAGGCATGCTAGTAATTAATATTTTATAGCATGTAAACCACACATTGTAAGCTTTACAAGGAAATAAACACTGTCATTGTCATAAAACCCCTAGTAAATGAACCCTCTCTCAATATACTCAGGTTCAGCTTTATGAATAAGATTCATAAAGCTGATATTAGATATTATATATGTGCCTTTGACCTAATTATACAAAAATAACTATCAGCCTGTCTTTGACTGGATGAAAGTGAACATACATGTATTATGAACCTGTGAATGCATATCTTTCCCCCCCTCCCCACGCTTTACTCATTTCATCCTACGTCAAATTCGCCTTTACGCCACTCTTCTAGAGTAAATTTCAGTTCAGCAAACATCATTACATCTGACTGTGTCACTCAGCAACATCACCTACGTCATAATTTTTTTAACTGTGTTCGTTATTTTTAAAAATACGACTGAAATGTGTTTTTAGTGTTCTTTGAGGTTCAGCAAGTTATATTGTTTCGCAAGTTATTTATGCTAGTTTTACGGTGTGTGTCATCATTTTAAGGCATTTTTAAGACATTATATCCGGTTTACAGCAAAAACCAAGTTACATCACGGCTCTTGGAACCAATTAATGATGTAGGGTGCAGCATGACTGTACTCTTAAAACAGCTTCAATATTGCAAAAACCAAACATTAAATACTTTCATTTAACTTTGTAAAATAATGAGATATGCCGAATAGTACTTTGACATCAATGTTAGGTTTATAGCTAGGAAGCCTACCAAAAATATTTACCATGCATAAGAACATGCCAAAGCTCCACCTGCCGTAGGCTGATGCCATACAGGTAACAATGATCTCGGGAAAAGTAATGTTGGGTGCCATTTTCATCTTTAAGTTTCCCCATGTTGGAATGAACTTCCATTACCTCTCCAGTGAGCAGTTCTTGGTCATCGCTTAAACCTGTGAAAAAAAAAATAGATTGAAAGAATGGATAATACCCTTGGCATGAAAAATATTTATTAAGAGAATATTGTACTACATTTCAATTAGAATATACAATCCCCACACCTACTGCAAGAGTATACATGTAAACACCCTTTCATTTATACATATGCAAGGGTGCTGAGTAGTACAGCATGCTATCTACAAATATTTCACGTTGACGAAAATATGAATCACACATCCACCACCAAGTAAAAATCAAAAGGAATTGAGCAACTTATCCTTTTATTCCCCCTCCTCCTCCTCTCTTCTCATACCTTAACAACTACCGTTCCATGCTTCCCTATCCCTCCTCACCAGGGCTCTGGTCACAGTTCATTCATTTCTTACCTATCATGCAGCACTGTGTGCTGGCTGGTACACCACTTGAAGTCCCATTGACAGAACTACTAATGGAGTAAATGCTTGAAATTGACGAAGTATTCACATTCACTGAAGAATCTTCTGAAGACATGCGAGTTTTATTTTTCTTTTTTTTATTTTTAAGTGTAAAATCTATGGTGCTGTGAGAACTTACAGAAACACGTATATCATCTAGATTATTTTTAACTGTAACAAAATTCTTAAATTCTTTTCCACTGATAATAGAAAGATTATTATTGTTTATAGAAGAATTATTTTTCTCGAATGTTGTGGTGCTTTTTGTGTCTGTATGATTTTGGTTTGAGTTCACAACTGCTTTATTATCTATATTTAAGTGAGTGATCAATATACAAGCATCTTCTTGTGTTCCTGTAGCAGGAATACCCACTGGCTTGTTACCTATCCACCCACATGTGGCCAGCAACTGCACTCTGTACCCCTTATAATCCTCACTTTCAACTGGAAGCACATAAAGATTGCAGCGCTTTGTGTAAATTGATGAGGGTATGTGCGCCATTTTGCTTAGTGGCACAAGTTGAAAGTACATTTCATCTTGTTTGAACTTGATAAAAATATCACCAAATTCCATACTCATCCACTTTGCTACACCAGAGCCACCATCAGCTGAAAACAGTTCCATAATGCATCCTGTGAGATGCTTTCCAGCATAGCCTTTTCCTCTAATTTTCAAGTCTTTAGGTAACCCTGACAAGTATTTTTTATTACCTTTACTGGAGTCCTTTGCTGCTTTTTTGTCTTCCATTTTATCACATTCTTTGCCATTTGTCATGTACACAATTCCCTTATTTGTTTCTTTCATCTCTCTGGAATATTCATCATTGGACAATTTATTAGCATCTAATTTGTGTCCTGCAGGCTTGACCTTAATACACTGATTAACATTTTGTTTTCCTTTCCTTATATATTGGTTTTCATCATTATCCGAGTTACTGTCACTGTCACTGTCACTGTCACTCTCACTCTCACTGTCACTGTCAACTGTCAAGGGCTCACTATCTAAACCGTAACTTGCATTGCTTCTGAAAGTATCAAAGAACAACTTTTCTGGAGAGTGGGGAAGGTGACCACATTCAACATATACTGCTTCCCATTTCACTTCCATACCAAATACTACTTTAGTTTCTATCCTACGTGCCCAAGCTTCACATTTGTTCACGTGGGCAAGAAGAAGATATAGCAGCTTGCAATTTATCCGCTGTCCTTCAAACCTCAAGGCACTGAGGGAAAATGTGATTCCACTAAACTTGGACCCCCATCCATTATCTTCATAGATTCTCAAAATTCCTCTGTCCTTGTCTCCCCACCAAATGTAACCAATAATATGAGAGAATCTGCATTCTTGATGATCACTTATCTCAGTACCATCCAAACACGCCTCTTTCCTGATGGAACATGTTTTCAAGCTATGCATATGTTCTCTCCTACATTCCCAGTCTTGTTTTTCAGAAAACTGTGTAAGAGAAGGAAAAAACATTTTAAGAGATGGGATGTCTCCAAACCATGCAACCACAGCAGTGTATTTTTTCAGTGTTTTATCACCTTGGTTACCCATGTCTGGTTCATCTAATTTTATTATAGCTTTCATGGGTGTCCCAATAGGAAGTGTATCTTTCAAGATTGTTCTTGGATTAGCTTTTATACCATTGATATACACAACATTGCCTGGAATGGTTATATTTAGTATACTGCTAGTTTCTAGTATACATTCTGTTTCACTGGAGATATAGCCATTAACAAATCCTTTTATCAGCATTTCCCCTTCAAAATTTTCATTTATTAGATTATCACTTTCCTTATTCATTGACATTTCCTGGAGCCCCTTCTGTGCTGACGCTGAGGGTTTTGCCAACCCTACAGTCCAGTTTTTGGCAGGGCCTTCTGATGTTGAGTTTTGTGGCGAGGAATTTCTGGCTGGGCCTTCTGATGCTGAATCTTGTGGGGAGGAATTTCTGGCTAGGCCTTCTGATGTTGAGTTTTGTGGAGAAGAATTTCTGGCTGGGCCTTCTGATGTTGAGTTTTGTGGTGAATTATTTAGTGAATCCAAGGGAAATGAAGAAGCACTTGAGGAAATATTTGACAATTTCTTTTGATGTGCAGATGTCTTAACAAGGGGTTGACTAAGATTAGGAAGGCCAAAAGCAGATGAACGAAGGGTTGGCACCCTCGGTAATTTAGGTTGAAACCCCGGAGGTGGTGCCAACAAGGACGGCACAAAGTATGGTGGTATAGTCAACGCAGCAGTACTTGTACGAGGCCCTGAAACTTGACTGTGGGCAAAAGGTGGTGGTGGCGGCATACTAAAATATGGCCCTGAAGCAATCAATGGAGGCAGTGAATTATAGTAAGGACTCCTCCACATACCATAAGGTGTGGGATAATGTGAAGGAGCAAGTCCATATGCAGATACTGGGAAAGGGTAATTGGTTGAAACAGGCACATAACCACCTACTGCATGCTGGTAATAATTGACAGGGGATTTATCAGGTACTTTATGTGGTTTTTTATCAGAATTCGCTGAAGAGAATTTGAGTGCTTGTCCCTCCACATCTGCTGCAGTCACAGCAGTTTTTTTCATCTCTACCTGTCGTTCCTCAGCTTTATGCATTCTTGTAGAGGTAGTATTGAAAGTCCTTTACTTATATTTTTGCTGCATACACGGATTTTCATATTACAACTCTGAAAAAAAAATCAAATGTAAGTTCTATAGGATAATAATACAGAATAGGCTGGAGAGAAAGAAAAATTTGACAAAATAAATGAAGATTACATAATAAAACAGAACTATTAATGAAAAGTGACTAAGATAAGAAGAAAGTTATTGTTATTGAACCCACTTGGAAAGTGTGATTAGGTTCTATCAGAATTAATGTATATGTGAATACGACTTAGGTGTGGAAAAATAAATGCACATATGGAAATGACTAGATTATAAGAAAACTACGTATAATGCTTGAAGGAAGACTTTTAAAGAAACTGAGTGAGATATAAAATTACAATTAAGATATAAATAATGTATACAAAGAGTTCTGGATGTAGAAAATGCTACAACTACTGGACAGTTTAAAATATTACATGATGAACATATTATTGAAGGTAGGACACCATGAGCACAGATTTGCTCCTGTTATTACAAACAGATACAGTAATTAACAAATATGTAATTAACTCACTATCTAATTGTAATTTTGGGAAAAAATATGGTATACACTGTAATGCAAAGTCTCTTTTTATGGATATTCCTGTAAAAATGGTTTACAATTATAATGTTCATGATATACTATAATTATATAAATTCTTATAATCTCGTTACAACAAGACTATAAAGTTGCAAATATCATCCAGTAGTTTTCTGTATCTACCCAATAACTGTACTGTTATTGGGTAGATTAGTGTGGATTAGTGTCTTACAATTTTTCTTTTTTTTATTAGCACATCAGCCATTTCCCACCAAGGCAGGGTGACCTGAAAAGGAAGAAACACTTTCACCATTATTCACTTCATCACTGTCTTGCCAGAGACATGCCTAAACTACAGTTAAAATAAACTGAAACATATAAACACCATCTCCTTCAGAGTGCAAGCACTGTGCTTCCCACCTCCAGGACTCAAGTGCAGCTAACCGGTTTCCCTGAATCCCTTAATAAATGTTACTTTGCTCACACTCCAACAGCATGTCAAGTCATAAAAACTATTTATCTCCACTCACTTCTATCTAACAAGCTCACATACTTCTCCTGGAAGTCCAAGCCCCTACCCCACCTTCCTTCCACTATACATTTATATGTTACCATTTTTCAAATCACTGACATCAGCACATTAATCAGGTGGCAGGTTCAGTGACTCGTTAAATTATAACCACGGACTATTCAAGAACATATGTAATTTAGGTTTAGGTTAGGTTACAATATGCTTGGTTAATTACATTATTGCCTACCTTTGATATACCCAATACCTTTGACAAGTTCTGAGAGTTCTACTCCCAGAGCCCAGCCTCCGCCCAGCTCGCCAATAGCTTTATTAAATTTCCGTATGGAAGAAAATTTCGCTGGCAGGAAAAATATCACAATGTACGAAGAAACTGTAATGTGGAAACAATGGCAAGATCACTGGCATTCTAAGATAACCCAATAATAGTTTGAAATGTACCATATTCAGGGGCAGCAGGTGTTTACCTGGAGTTTACCTGGAGAGAGTTCCGGGGGTCAACGTCCCCGCGGCCCCGTCTGTGACCAGGCCTCCTGGTGGATCAGAGCCTGATCAACCAGGCTGTTGCTGCTGGCTGCATGCAAACCAACGTACGAGCCACAGCCCGGCTGGTCAGGAACCGACTTTAGGTGCTTGTCCAGTGCCAGATGGAAGACTGCCAGGGGTCTGTTGGTAATCCCCCTTATGTATGCTGGGAGGCAGTTGAACAGTCTCGGGCCCCTGACACTTATTGTATGGTCTCTTACCGTGCTAGTGACACCCCTGCTTTTCATTGGGGGGATGTTGCATCGTCTGCCAAGTCATTTGCTTTCGTAGTGAGTGATTTTCGTGTGCAAGTTCGGTACTAGTCCCTCTAGGATTTTCCAGGTGTATATAATCATGTATCTCTCCCACCTGCATTCCAGGGAATACAGTTTTAGGAACCTCAAGCGCTCTCAGTAATTGAGGTGTTTTATCTCCGTTATGCGCGCCGTGAAGGTTCTCTGTACATTTTCTAGGACAGCAATTTCACCTGCCTTGAAAGGTGCTGTTAGTGTGCAGCAATATTCCAGCCTAGATAGAACAAGTGACCTGAAGAGTGTCATCATGGGCTTGGCCTCCCTAGTTTTGAAGGTTCTCATTATCCATCCTGTCATTTTTCTAGCAGATGCAACTGATACAATGTTATGGTCCTTGAAGGTGAGATCCTCCGACATGATCACTCCCAGGTCTTTGACGTTGGTGTTTCGCTCTATTTTGTGGCCAGAATTTGTTTTGTACTCTGATGAAGATTTAATTTCCTCGTGTTTACCATATCTGAGTAATTGAAATTTCTCATCGTTGAACTTCATATTGTTTTCTGCAGCCCACTGAAAGATTCAGTTGATGTCCGCCTGGAGCCTTGCAGTGTCTGCAATGGAAGACACTGTCATGCAGATTCGGGTGTCATCTGCAAAGGAAGACACGGTGCTGTGGCTGACATCCTTGTCTATGTCGGATATGAGGATGAGGAACAAGATGGGAGCGAGTACTGTGCCTTGTGGAGCAGAGCTTTTCACCATAGCTGCCTCGGACTTTACTCTGTTGATGACTACTCTCTGTGTTCTGTTAGTGAGGAAATTATAGATCCATCGACCGACTTTTCCTGTTATTCCTTTAGCACGCATTTTGTGCACTATTACGCCATGGTCACACTTGTCGAAGGCTTTTGCAAAGTCTGTATATACAGTGGACCCCCGGTTAACGGTATTTTTTCACTCCATAAGTATGTTCAGGTGCCAGTACTGACCGAATTTATTCCCATAAGGAATATTGTGAAGTAGATTATTCCTTTCAGACCCCCAAACATACACGTACAAACGCACTTACATAAATACACTTACATAATTGGTCGCATTCGGAGGTAATCGTTATGCGGGGGTCCACTGTATTACATCTGCATTCCTTTTATCTTCTAGTGCATTTAGGACCAATAGTTGAGACAGACAGGAGCGACCTGTACTAAACCCATGTTGCCCTGGGTTGTGTAACTGATGGGTTTCTAGATGGGTGGTGATCTTGCTTCTTAGGACCCTTTCAAAGATTTTTATGATATGGGATGTTAGTGCTATCGGTCTGTAGTTCTTTGCTGTTGCTTTACTGCCCCCTTTGTGGAGTGGGGCTATGTCTGTTGTTTTTAGTAACTGTGGGACGACCCCCGTGTCCATGCTCCCTCTCCATAGGATGGAAAAGGCTCGTGATAGGGGCTTCTTGCAGTTCTTGATGAACACGGAGTTCCATGAGTCTGGCCCTGGGGCAGAGTGCATGGGCATGTCATTTATCGCCTGTTCGAAGTCATTTGGCGTCAGGATAACATTGGATAGGCTTGTTAACCAAATTTTGTGGCTCTCTCATAAAAAAATCATTTTGATCTTCGACTCTCAGTCTGGTTAGCGGCTTGCTGAAAACTGAGTCATATTGGGACTTGAGTAGCTCACTCATTTCCTTGCTGTCATCTGTGTAGGACCCATCTTGTTTAAGTAGGGGCCCAATACTGGACGTTGTTCTCGACTTTGATTTGGCATAGGAGAAGAAATACTTTGGGTTTCTTTCGATTTCATTTATGGCTTTTAGTTCTTCCCGTGATTCCTGACTCCTATGAGTTTCCTTTAGCTTAAGTTCGATGCTTGCTATTTCTCTGACCAGTGTCTCCCTACGCATTTCAGATATATTGACCTCTTTTAGCCGCTCTGTTATTCTTTCCCGTCGCCTGTAAAGGGAGCGCCTGTCTCTTTCTATTTTACATCTACTCCTCCTTTTTCTTAGAGGAATAAGCCTTGTGCATACATCGAGTGCCACCAAGTTAATCTGTTCTAGGCATAAGTTGGGGTCTGTGTTGCTTAGTATATCTTCCCAGCTTATATCGGTTAGGACTTGGTTTACTTGGTCCCACTTTATGTTTTTGTTATTGAAGTTGAATTTGGTGAATGCTCCCTCGTGACTAGTCTCATTATGTCGGTCTGGGGCTCCACGCATACATGTCTGAACCTCAATTATGTTGTGATCTGAGTATATTGTTTTTGATATGGTGACATTTCTTATCAGATCATCATTGTTAGTGAAGATGAGGTCTAGTGTATTCTCCAGTCTAGTAGGCTCTATTATTTGCTGGTTTAATTATTATTATTATTATTATTATAATCAAGGGGAAGCGCTAAACCCGGATGATTATACAGCACCTGGGGGGGGGATGTGGAAGGCATTCAGGCTTAATTCGGGGAACTGGAGCACAGATCCAATTCCCTAAATCAAGAGCCCCTCACCAACATCAAGGAACCTTCCTTGAGGGGTTGCTGGTTTAAATTGAATTTTGTGCAGAGATTTAAAAGCTCGTGTGAGTGTGAGTTTTCATCAGAGCTGCCTCCTGGTGTTATTACTGCAACAATATTATTTGCTATATTCCTCCATTTTAGGCGCCTTAAGTTGAAATCCCCCAGGAGCAAGATGTTGGGTGCAGGAGCTCGAAGATTTTCCAGACAGTGGTCAATTTTTAACAGCTGTTCCTGGAATTGCTGGGATGTTGCATCCGGAGGCTTGTAGACTACCACAATGACTAGGTTTTGGTTCTCGACCTTTACTGCTAAAACTTCCACTACATCATTTCAGGCATTTAGGTGTATGGAAGCTTACCCAACCGTTCACCTGTGTCTAGGTCCATCCTCTACCCCTCAGTGTGAGAGCTGAGGCCGAGTGCAACAAACTGCCAATTAACTTTAGTTTAGGCGACAACTCTGAGTAGCTCTGAAAAAATGGGTTGGACAGGTACATGAGTGGGTGCGAGTTAGACCTGCCTAGCATAGGCCGGAAGTGCTACAGTATTCCTTCGTTCATAAGTACAATTGTGTAATATACAAGTCATACACTAGCACTGAGGCACACCCTTGAATAGAGAGTTCCAACTACAAAACATTACTACTTAAACTGCATTTTAAAAAAAACAGGGAGGGGGACAGACCAACTCTTATCCGCCACCAAAATAACCGAATTCAGTAATCTAGCCTCTAAAAAATGCATCGTCAATGACGTCTACAAAACCAGTATAACCAGCATACACAACATGAATCTGTAAATCTTACCTCTACACTTCTAATAGCCCGAGGAAAAAAGACAGAAAATTCTACGTAGAAAAAACAGAAACACACTAGGAAATCTTTGTTGTTGTGGAGCTTAAGGGTTGTGAGGACCGCGGGGCCGGACAACCCCACATGGTAGGTAAGTTAAATAAGTAAGTTGATCCATGTGGACATTAGAACTGGGGTGGAGTGTGGGAGTGTCTTCTGAAGGTTCCTCAGTTGTTTATTGGTGGTGTAGGCCCTGTTTAGGCTCTGCTTCACATTCCTTTTTTTTTTCTTGTGTGCTTGAGTTGTCATTGTCTTCTCCATCAGGCGGTGTTGTGTGGCCCATTTATGGGGGGTTCGACTGAGATGTCGTTCGCCCCCATAGGGAGGGACCCACCTCCTGTCTCTTCTTAGTTGACAGCTGTTTCACTACCGTCGGACCAAGATATGGCTAGTGTGCCCCCTACTGGGATAAACAAACGGGCCCTTGAGGTTGACGACAGTACCAAGCCCTTGACTAGCCCAAAACGCCAACCCACCACTTGTCCAGACTATGTAAGTAAGTTTATTCAGGTATACACAAATACAGTTACATAGAATTATCATACATAGCAGCATATGTGTAGAGAACCTAGGATAACCCAAAAAAGTCAGACAGAGTGACTTATTTCCATTGGGGTCCTTTTATCTTATTATTATAATATAAAGGCTATAATATTTTCTTATTATTCTACAATGAAGATAACATCTTATTATCATACTAAAAAGACTATCTACTACACGAGGGTCATTAAGACTATCTACAATACGAGGGTCATTACTAGGAATAAGGTAAAAATTACACGTATGTTAGCTAAAAAATAGAAAATCATTCCCCTCCCTTTCTGTAGCTACATTCATCAGACACCTTTTGGCACTCTTCTTGAACTGGTTCATGCTATGACTGGCTTTGACATGTGCGGGTAGTCTGTTCCATTCCTTTATTGCTGTACAATAAAAGGTGTTTGAAGCCTGGCCACTGACTGTGGGTACTACAAAGTTGTGCTCTCTCCCCCTAGTACTATGATTGCTTTGGTTCCCAACCTTGACAAAATTGACAGCAAGATATTCTGGACACTGTTTGTGAGCAATTTTATAAACATCATTTAGCTTCAGTTGTTTTACTCTGTCTTCAACATTCAGCATATCCAACTGCTGTAATTCATCCTGGCCTACATGTTCTCTTGGTCCCAGCCCCAAGATGAATCTTACGATTTTGTTCTGAGTGATATGCAGTCTATGTTTCAGTTTTTTTGTCAAGGCAGAGTACCATGAAGAGCAAGCGTAATCCATATGGCATTGTATAAGGGCTAGACATAGGGTCCTGCGAGCCTCAGTTGGTAGACACTGTGCTTGTCTATACAGGAACTTCAGTCTGGCATTCGCTTTCTTTACTACACTGTTCCCTATCAATTCTCCTGACATGCATGGGTCAAAGGGGATTCCCAGATATTTTACTGATGAAACCAAAGTGATGGGTTCCCCAATACACTGAACATTAAAATTATTTACCCTTCTCAGTTTATGTTTCGTGCCAAAGAGAATGGCTTCAGTTTTTCCTAGGTGTAATGATAGTTTGTTGTCTACTAACCATTTGCTGCAGGACTCAAGTTCCAGTGTTAAAACATTAGCACCTACTCACATTACTCCAGACATGACGGTGGTTCTTGTGCGTCCTAAGGATGGCGGTACGCCCTTCACCAACCCACGGGACGTCACCAACGTCATCAGTGGATCTCCTTTCGGCAAGGCTTGCATAGATGGGGGCGTCCAACAACTCGGTAGGGGTGCAGCCCTAAGGCTCCGGCTCCATCATAAGTCTTTTCTGGCTAGAAATTTGCCACTAAATGCCATTCATGTCCTGGGTAGGTGGAATGTTGTCTGCTGGGAGGTCCGCTCCTCAATCCTCACAGCCGGCTGTTGTTACGGCAGAATTGGACTGATTTCTACATCCCTCTCAGATGAGGAGATCCACTCTGAATTGGTTCAGTGGGAGTGACGACTTGGGTTTGCAGGAGGTTTGGAGCCTCTCGAATCGTCCTATCCCATCTCGTATGGTTCGTGTATGTTTCTCGGGTGCTCTCCCGAAATTTGTGACTTTTGGCAATCTAAGATTTCCTGTTCTTCATTATACTTTTCCTTTACTCCGGTGTCGGAAATTGTTTCCTTTTCGGGCATGGAGAGTTGTCTTGCCGTGGTAAAGTAAGATGTGTGAACTGCAGCGGGTTTCACCCAATAATTAAAGACGGCATTACCTGTACCCGCCCGGCTTCATGCTACTTCTGTAAAGGAAACCACAAGGTTACCTCCCGGTCTTGCCCGGCATATCGCCAGGCTCTTGATTTGGCACACTCGGCCAGGGCCCAGTCTTGTTCGCTTGATGAATGTAACTCCTGCTTGTGGTCCGTAAAGCCAGTCACAGTTCGTCAGCCCCTGCCTCCTTCGCCTCCAGTGCCCCCCACTAAGGGAGTCTCCCCAACACCAAGACGGCCAGGGCACCTGTACTCCACAGCTGTGAGGGCTAATATCCCTGTTACAAATCGGTTTGGGGCTCTTGCAGACCTCTCTTTCCCTTTAGAGGATTCCCCCCCCCCCGGGCAACATCAACTCAGGGTGTCCTTGGACCCGGCTTCCATTGCGGAAATTATTGCACATGACCCCCTCGTCCACAACGCACGTCCTCCCGTCGAGGTGGTACAGTTCCCAAATCGACTCGTTGCTCAGAGCCCCACCCAGTTCAGATGGACATCATACCCGACCCGGAGCCTCCCGTCTCGCAGCCGACTCCCCCTCCCAATTCTCCTCAACCCCAGCCTCGGCCTGTCTCCACTCCAGGACCCTTCATGTCTGAAGGTCCCACTTTCTCACTCTCACCTGCCTGGGCTTTATTCCTTCATCCTATTCTCCTCCTGGTGAAGGAGGTGCTACATTCTTACCTCCAGGGCACCTCTTTTGTGACTGCATGTCTCTCGGTTCTCCCTCGCCTTATTGGGCTGCTTAGTTCACACACGTGAACCTTTCTCACCCCTCTGTTTTTCTTCTTTGGAACACACGTTCTGTACTGGGGAAGCTTCTGGACCTTCAGAGGTATCTGGCTGAGGTACAGCCACTGGTGGTGGGTCTCTCTGAGACATGGTTACGCCCTCGACATTCTCTTCGGATGCCTGGTTTCACTGTTTACTGTAGGGATCGCCTTGCAGGGAGCGGAGGTGGCCTAGCTCTTCTTGTACGCAACCAGCTCCAGAGTACGACCCTCTCTCTCCAAGCCTATGAGAGTGGAGTGTTGGAAACTCTGGCTGTGAGAGTTGCCTTGGGCACTCAGTGGTGCAACATACTCCTGATCTATAATCCGGGCAGGTCGGTTACACAAAGTGAATTTACCTATTACTTTGGACAACTCCATGGTTCTACGCTTGTGATAGGAGACTTTAATGCAAGGCACCAGTTCTGGGAGCCATCCATTTCTTTGGGATCGGTGAATCCCACAAGTAGGGCCCTGTTCCAAACTCTCCTCGCATCTCACCTTTTGCTGCTCACACCACCAGGTTTGGAGGCTAGAGTAGATCCTTATACCGGGCGTGTTTCTACCCTAGGCCTCGTTCTTGGGTGTGGATATTTTACTACAGCTACTGTTACTGTAGGCCATTTCATGGGGAGTGATCATCTTCCAGTCCTTACTTCTACAAATGAAGCCTTAGCAGTGCCAGTGATGGCAGTTCGTTCACGGTGGAAAATCACCCAGGCTGGTTGGACTAACTATAATCGGGCCCTTACTGATTACAGCCTGCCTCAGGACTCCTTGCTGGACGAGGCTGTTGCGTCTCTGCAAGGGGCCATGCTTGAGGCGGGCTCGCATTCATTCTGTCTCTCCAGGAGCTTCTCCCGTTCATGCGCCCGGGTTCCATGGTGGAATGATCAGTGCCTCCGAGCAGTGAAGGCGCGTCAGACAACGTGGGCACAGTGGTGGCACCAACTCTCTCGGACTCAGTAGTTGGCCTACCGAAGGGAAGACGCTCTTTGTCGGCAAACCCTCCTCCAAGTGAAACGTACATCCTGGGCTTTATTCTGTTCTTCTCTTTCTTTTCGCACCTCTGCCAGTCAGGCATGGGGTTTCTTCCACTCCGTGTTGGGATCACGTTCTGTAAGTACTTTTCCCCTGCTGGGGAAAGGAGCGACTTCACTCTTACCCCAGGGCAAGGCTGAGACATTTGCAAATTTCTTCGGTCCTATGCTTTCTCCTCCTCCTCCTCTACCCTCTAAGATGATCAAATGGGGCCCTTTGCCACCTGCCATACCCGAGGTTCACTGCCAGGTGCTGACATCTCCCTTTAGCTCCCATGAACTGCAGTGGGCTTTTTCCAGGGGAGGACAACTTACCCTATTCATTTATACTACATCTACCTCCCTTCTGTACAGAAGCTATGCTGGAGATTTTCAATACCAGCTGGTATACAGTTGTCTTCCCTGATATGTGGAAACACTCTCTTCTGATTCCGATTTTAAAGCCGGGCAAGGATGATACCCAACCGAGCTCTTACCGGCCCATTGCTTTACTGCCCTGCTTGGGTAAGGTGCTGGAACGACTGATGGCTACTCGTCTCTCTTGGTGGATTGAGGAACATGGCCTCCTGCCTGATAACCAGAGTGGCTTCCGAGAAGGTCGATCCACCCTCGACCCTTTGCTTCAATTTACACAGCTTGCGCACACTTCATTTGAATGCCGGGAGTTCCTTTTGGCTGCATTTTTGGACCTACGCAGAGCATTTGACTCTGCATCACACACAGCAATTGCTTTCAAGCTGGCTCGCATGGGGCTGACAGGAGCTCCCCTCTGCTGGATGCGCAACTTTTTGCAAGGGAGGACCTTTCGTGTAGCAGTGGGTGGCGCTTTGTCCTCACCCTGTCCTGTATACCGGGGAGTGCCCCAGGGATCTGTTCTTAGCCCACTCCTTTTCTCTGTCTTATTGTCGGATCTCCCTTCCATCCAGGGAGTGCATACCCTGGTATATGTGGATGATGTGGCCCTTATGTGCAGTGCCCTGGCTTTACTGACAGCACAGGAAACACTTCAGGGTGCCCTGCAATGCATAACATCATGGGCCACCACCTGGGGTTTGGAGGTTAGTGACACTAAGTCCAAGCTCTTAAGCTTTACTAGACACCGACTCCCCACTCTTCCATCAGTCTCATTGAACCAGATGCCAATCCCTTTGGTCTTCTCTCATCGTTGGTTGGGAGTCACCTTAGATGCACCATTCTTGACATGGAAGAAACACATAGCAGCCCTCCACCTCTCGTGTGCACATCACATTGCACTTATGCGCCGGATCTCTGGCACCAAGTGGGGGGCAGATCGAGACCTTCTCTATAAGTTCTATATAGCTATGGTTCGCAGCAAGCTCACTTATGCGAGTGAGGTGTATGGCTCGGCTTCTTCCTCCTCTCTTCATCGCTTAGACATTCTCCAGAATTCAGCCATCGGTAATATGCTGGGGGCATTCCCCTCCACCCCTATTGCA